AAACAAAATTTACCTCTTCATTAAAGATGAAGTTTGCAAGTGTCTCTTTGAATGATAGTGCCAAAAGCACAATTAGCCCTAACAGTTTCATAAAGATGGGAGCCTTTCCATTTTTGATTCCTGTCTCAATATGAACATTAATTGTTGTACCAATTGTCCCATGCGTCGCAGTTAAATATTCTAAGAGTGGTGTAGCATTGAATTGAAAATATAGTTTCAGACACTCACTCATATTTATATCATAAAGTCTCTTAAAATGAAGTTTGAGACCAATTGGCCGAAATAGGTATGGCCACTCTCTGGATAGATCAGTAATTTCAGGGCAAGAATCGTCTTCAGAGCGTTTCCTCTTCTTAGCATTTTGGAAAGCTTTTATGTCCTTGTGCATTTGTAGGACCACTTTTCTTTCATTTGGACATGTGGTTTTTCAACAATACACAATTCTTGCTGGATCTCTATCTTTCCTTTTCTTGGAGATGTCAATTAGTTCTTGTCTTAAAGCTTCTTGTGACTCTGCCGTTTCTCCCGGGGGCAACCTTGTATCATGCCATGCGTCTGGAGTCAAACCCATGACCGACTTGACCGGCATGTTTATAATTAGATTTTCTTTGCCTTCATGTTTACTAATTTGAGCATCTTTCCGTGGAATATAGTTATCAAACTGCTCTCCGCAATGTTTTATGAATCTTTTGAAACCAAGGTTCGTATCTCCTACTTTGTCACAGAATGAAGCAGGAAATTTCTTTCCTACTGCCTCTGCCATGTTGACCATAATCCCTCGCTTGGCTTTGGGATACGCAACCTTGGCTGCTCCCACCATGGTATTAACCAGTAGCAGCTCTGCTACAGCAGATGGCCTCCTCTTCTCTTTCAACTAAGCTAGGTCCAGCTCACCTTTGTCGTGTTTAGCTATTTTATCTAACTGCCAAATAAGGTCCCAGGTAATCGGCACTAAAATAGTGCTTTCATCAAAACCACTTGTACTTTGTTGAGATTGTTGATTCTGATCTGGAAATTTAAAAATAAAATAAAAAAAATTAAGATTTTAAAGACTTATAACTGGGTGTTAAGGCCTGTCCAGTTCTTCAGTTTTCTTACTTGAATTTTCCAGGTGGCAACCAGATTTCCAATGGTCAATTAGCCTTAAGGACTGAAACTCGTTGAGGTTTTGGGCCTCAAGATGTGCTTGGGTGACATGTTTTAAATCCATAGCAGTAGTCTATCCTTACCAACTGGTCTAGCAAAGCACTTACTGGTGCCCTCTGTACACTCGTTCAATATGTTTTCATTGTTGTTTCTTCAGACATAACCATAGATAAGGGACCTGGACATTATTCCTTTTCAAAGGTCAAACCAGATACTTTGTTCTAATATTAATCAATAGCTTATTTCTCTGTATATTAGTTTATCTGGGGCGTTGACTTTGGTAGTTTCTTGGGATAACAATTATAATTTTGTTCCAGCTACTCCTTTTAGGTCGACTTACAGTAACGCCCCTAAGAAGGACACCAGCATGAATAAAGCTCAGAAAGAACAGCTCCTAAGGATAATGGCTTATCCACCATATTAGGGATGGTAGGTTTGTAACCGGTTTCGGTCAAAAACCGGTCTGATGAAGAAAAAAAAACGGTTTTTTCGAACCGGCCAAGGGAATCGGTTAAAACCGTAACACCGGCCTAAACTGCTAAAAAACCGTTTTTTTTTGTTTTTTTTGCGATAGTAAGTTTTAGAGGCGATTGAACGTTTCGTCGGGGCCGGTGCTCTTGGGTCTCCGCCTCGCTACAGACTGCGCAGCGCGCTCGAGCTGGGCCGAGCCGAGCGAGCGCCGAGCGCCGAGCCGAGTCCAAGCGCGAGCCGCTGGCGCTGTCTGCAGCGCGGTGGTTCATTTTCTTGCCGATAGATCACAGCACGCTCTGAGCGCCGCGCCGCCGGCCTCGTGAGCTGTTGACATCAGCTGATCTCATTCTCATTCAGTCTTCAGCTTCAGTTTCGAGTCAAATTTTGTGGGTCAGGTCAGTGGTCAGTGACACCTGTTAAGTATCGAGTGTGAACGTAGCCGTTGCTTATCGTTGCCATGGGAGGCATCAGCGCAGTCTGGAACTACTTCTCCCGCTTGCCGAACGCAAGTGGAAAAGTGTATTGCAGAAAATGCGAGCGCCGCTTCACCCACCGTGTCGGGGGAGGGACGTCCACCTTGATTCAACACGTCGCTTCTGCCCACGGTGTTAATCTCCCTCGACGCGGTGGGCGGATTTCAAGGCTTGGGCCTCAGCAGTCACCCTCCTCATCCTTACGAGAAGAGGAGGACGTCGACGGCGACCTGAGCAGTGAAGTGAGATTTGAAATGTTTACGGCGTCGGCACCCACCCCGCCTCGCTTTATTTTGCTTTGACTTTAATTGAGTCTCCGATGCAGGCCGGCAGCAGCGCCGCGGCTACGCCGACGCCGACAACACCCACAACTCCTCGATCTAGCAACAACATCAGCACTCCAAGATCTCGCCCATTTTCGGGCCCATTTCAACGTTGCATCAATAACGTTACTTCATTCGCTCGTGAGTATTGCCTCGGCGTTTCTACCTGTTGTCACCGCTGTTTACTTTTCTCTTCTGAAACCTTTTTTCTGCTTTCTGTGCTTTACAGCAGGGGGACACCGGGATGCCGAGATAACGAATGCGCTGTTGTTCATGGTGGCCTCAGAGAAGCTCCCGCTCAGCTTCGTTGAGAAGGAGGGGTTCAAGTTATTCATGAAGAAGGTACAGCCTATGTACAAGATCCCTTCCGAACCGACTGTGCGGGCGCTCCTAACCTCTAAATAAGAAGTGCTCAAGGGAATTATTTGCGACGAGATGAGCAAGACAGAGGGCCTCAGCTTGACAATGGACATTTGGACTCAGAAGAGCACAATGAGAAGTTCGCTCGGCGTGACAGCACACTACGTGAAAGGTGAGTCTTGTATACTGAGCCTCAGCACTCCGCATTTTATCTCAATGATGTAGTTTAATGAGATACTGCTCTTTTCCAGTGTTGCCTACTAAGAGGAGAGTTCTACGCTCTATTGAGCTTTGCGCTCAGCCGCTCACGGAACGCAAGACGATTTCGTATCTCCGCTCAGTCAAGAGAGATATTTGTGAAATGTGGGGCATCACGAAGGATAAGGTACAAGTCATCGTCACGGACGGCGGGGCGAATATCAAAGGAGCAGTGTGAGAAGAATTTGGAGCTGACAAGCACATGTCCTGCTTTGCTCATTTGATCAACATTATTGGTCAGTCAGTTCTCAAGCCATCATCAGCCTACATTAAACCCTCTGAGCGTGAGCCAGATGCAGCAGCAGAAGTGGATGTTCACATTCCAGATAATGAATCAGACTGTGAAGATGACACTGTTGTTCCTCCTGCACCTGCCTCCACTGAAAGTGTTGAATTTCCTTAGTTGTTACTAAAGGTCAAAGTCATTGTCAAATTCTTTCGCCAGAGCGAGGTTGCCACATCTGAGCTGAAGAAACTTCAAATGGCGGAGTGGGATGTCAGTGAATCTCAAACGAAAAGACCTATACAGGAAGTCCGCACAAAGTGGAACAGCTGTTACGCCATGATAGAAAGATTTCTTCTGCTAGCAGACTTCCTGCAGAGGGTTCTATTAAAGGTGAAGCGAGAAAAGAACACCAAGACCAGGCGTCCCAGCTTCTTATCTGACGATGAATTAGATGCACTTACTGAAGTACGTCAATTACTGAAACCATTAGATATTGTTACAAAATCAATAAGTGGAGAAAAAGTTGGTACTTTGAGCTTGGCCATCCCTCTACTCAATGCTTTGAAAAAGGTATTAATTTAATTATTTTTTTTAATCAAGTTAAAATTTGCTTCTTTGTCTAATGTGATTTTTTTTCTTTCTAGAACTTAGAGAAGGTAGAAGCAGTGACACCAATAGGGTTTCAAATGAAACACACACTAACTAGACTAATAGAAGAGAACTTTCCAAAGATTGAAGAGCAGAAGCTGTATGGGTGCGCCACTTTGTGCGACCCAAGGTTTAAGAATGTTTTCTTTTCTGGCATAGAGGGATGTGCTGGTGCCATCAACAATGTTGGTAAGTAAATCTCTGTATAATATCTTTTTAAAACTTCTTCCCCAGATACTAATTTTGGATTTTTACAGGAAAATTGATCAGGCAGCATATGGCTGCCAGTAGGCAGCAGCAGCAGCAGCAGGCTGACATACAAGAGAACTCCACTCCCAATAACACTACTGGCCAAAATGAAGTTGAGGGATTTTGGTCGGATCTGGATCGGGCAGTTCAGCTGGCCAATGTTCAACGCTCTGACACAGTGGCGTCTAGTGGCATGCCACTTGAGTTAAAGCAATTTTTAAACAGGCCTCCTGTAGACAGGAAAACCCACACTGACCCTCTACTGGCCTGGGAGGATTTAAAGGATTTGTATCCCAATGTGTGCGCTGTTGCCCTTCGCTTCCTGCCTCTGCTTGCCACCTCAGTTCCAAGTGAACGCTTGTTTTCTCATGCTGGGCTCATCGCTACTCAGCTAAGAAACCGTTTGAGTGGGCATCATCTAAA